TGAAAAGCGTAGAAACGGCCGCATCGCGCCGCGAGATGAACCAGCCAGATATTACACGCGCGCGTTTTCTCCTCCTTCGACCCCTCTAACGTCTTTTCGTCGCGTCGCGTCGCATCGCGTCGCGTACACACACGACACGGCTTTATCTGGAGAAACTGCGCGAGTTATCGCCGTACTGACCCGTGCCAAATGAAATAACTCTCCTCCCCGTTACGATAATTCGGTATCCAGACTCGATAACGTTTTATCGCGAGCGCTCCTCCAATGTTACAACAATTTAGCAATTACACCGACAGAGATATACAGACCTCCGGGCGTAATCTGCACTTCAAAATATTTATAGTTCCGTTACGAGCGCGCTGGTGCACCGAGCTCGACCACTCGAAAGCATCGTTAACCATGTTTTCGACGATTCTTATCCCCTGCGGTTCGACGTCTATCGGATCATCGCGAGTACGAAAAATCGCTAAGAGGTATGTAAGTAGATACGGTTTCCTCCCATTTGAGGAAAAAACGGTTGCTCGATAACGTAGTCTTAGCTAGCCAAAATGCTACGTTACACAGCTACGCGTTCCTATTTCGTAAGAAACAGATTGAAAAGCTCGAGGAGAGTTTGCGATGGCATCGATCAACAGAGAAATGGCGCGTTCGTGGTACAAAGGTGTATTATTCGACACGGAAGCAAAGTACGTGTATTACCCGGACAAACCACCTTACGTTGACCTTAGACGCTAAAATCAAGGACCGCGTACGACGTGAACGCAAACGCGAACGTGTTATACGGTCCCCGCGACCGAGGCATAATCGAGCTCATCCTTCCTCTCTCGCTCTCCTCGCACTCCTTTCCCTTCCTTCGTTCTCTCGTGCGACGCTCTTCAAATGGATCGACCGCAGCGGCACACACGCACGTAACGGCTTCGTCTTTTTATCATACATTTCACCTTTCTACTTTGCAATCAAGCACTTTCATATTGCTTTCACTCGGTCGATGAAAGTACCGTCCACGAGCCAAATAGGCTCCCGTCCTTTATACGGGGTGGACGAGAAAAAACCTCTCGATCGCGAGTCCTTTGAATTTGTTTTCGTTCGGACTACGATCAAGCACCACGGAATTTAAACTGTTCGCAATTTGTCCTCTGTCTGCTTCGATTCAACTTTGTTCGGGGTTTGTTACAATTGCGTCGCTGACCTTTCATCTCCTTTCTTAACAAAATATCTTTCCACGCGAACACGACGATACACGTTTCGATCGTTAATCCGATACCAACGTATTCGTCGCGCTTATTTTTCATCCTCGTTGCGAAATCGTCCCTAACTTCCGACGCTTTGTCGTCATTTTTTTCATTCGACTATTTCGCGACTGGTATCGTTCTATTTAAACTAGATACAAAGCATTCGTGATCTGGGAGTAATCCAGTTCACGGTTCGAGTTTGACGTTTCCTGTACCCGATCACGATCGATGACCGACCAAGATCAGTAACAGTACTTTACATTTCGAGCGCCCGGTGTGCAAGAAAACGAACGCACCGAACGAGACTATACGCGAACGTCGGCGTCGGAAGCAGTTTTCGTGTTTAAGATTTGGAGTCGGGAGAGGCCGGTGAACTCGGACGAGATCGGACCAAGACCTCCGCGACTGTGGTACATCTCGATAACTATTGGAAATTTCACTCGATTCGTGAGATAGTACTAAGAAAGATAGAGAAATATTATTATATTACATAATTTATACACTACATTAAATATAATATAATTTCGGAGAATATACTATTTACGGAGTTAATCTTACGACGAGTAATCTAGATAACGGAACAGAATGATCCCGAATTGGAAAGTGTCGCGTCGAATACGGATCGTGTCGTGCCGTGTCGTGTCCACCAAGGAGAAAATAGCACGAAAATTTCTATGGGAAAATTTAATTACGCTCGAGTTGTGTTGGCGAGCGTGCGTATCTAGCATTAGCGTTTAAAACGCGTACCTACATACGTCGAACACGTCTGCTGTGTATGGAGCGGAATTGAAATGCAGACACGCTATCCGAGTCATTCGCACGCGCAATCCGGATTACACCTGCATTCTCGCTATTACTCGTACAGTTACACTTTCTCTTCAACGTCTGCCCGCGCTCGCGAACAGCGAACAGCAAACAACGAAAAGCGAATCAGCTCATCGTGCCGGTAGAGAGGGAAATTATTCTTAAACGAACTGCTTGTTCAAAACTATCCGCTCGCCTTCTCTTTCCTCGGGTAGCACACTCGCCATCGTAAGGACGATCAAACGATTCGATGAAGCAACGTGAAAGACTCGAATCGATTGGATAAAGAATCGCTCGTCTTTCCCATCGATTTGCGATAATTGAGAGTCGATCGAAGGGTCTATTCGACCATGGCTGTTCGAGGATACGTTAGTCGCGCTTCGATAAACCGGTCGTGCACCAGGATTTCGAAACGTTCGCGTCGACAAAAGCTCGTCGGCGTCGATTTATTCGAGATATTATATATCGAGGTCTCTCCGCGGCCTTGCGCGTTACAGACCACAATAAACGAGGTGATTGGCCGAACTGGATATTCGACTTTCTTTTTAAATTTGCGCACCCGAAACACGGTACGCGGCACGCGCGTAAATACCACGTTCAACCGCCGACGATGCGATGGTGATCGCGATAGCGCGAAAAACAATGCGGAAATTTTCACCGCTGCGCCACTCGAGCAGAGCGGTGCGGCGATTTCATTGTTCCGGGCAACGATTGTCCCGCGCGATGCGGGATTAATCGATCGAGAGCAACGATGTCGCGTTCGAACTTCTTTCCGCTCTCGCAGAACCGCTGACGCTGGATTAAACGCCGATGAAAGTCGTAAAGAAACCGTCGGCGTCGTTCGACGTTCGAAAAGATGACAGGTAAAATCAGTCTCGACCGACGGTGTTACTTTAAATCTTACTTGAAAAAAACTATCGTACCGCATCGATAATGCTTAAAGTTTGGAAAAATCCTGTCAGATACGTGCAAACGTAATATAAATACGATACGTCTGAATAACAACAAAAACGGAATGTTACTCGAAAAAATAGACGACTTGGGGTGGGATGATCAGCTGTCGAGTCGCGTACAAAATTGTACTTTTACGTCCGTTAGTTATCGAAATAAATGTCAAGGGTGAATAAAATACTGCACGTTAAACGTAAGAATACTTTTGCCTAACAATAATATCGAACAGCGTAAATAAGCGAGATATTCGTATCGAAACGGTTATTATTCTTTCACCCTTGATATGCGTTTCATTCTCCCAAATTACTTCGTCCGATACGAGCAAGCCACTGTTGCGAAGTAAACCAGTCTCTCCTACGCGGCTTCGAACTTGAACTAGTTTCCAAGATACGCAAATCCTCGAGCGCGTGTCGCCGATCCAAGGTAACTACGTTCCCAAACGCGACAATATTCCCAGTTATGTTGCGAAATATAATAGTTATTGCGCAGACTAACATCTGCAGCCATAAAACGTATTACGTCTCGCGATAGAAATAAATATCATCGAGTCGAGAGAATTGTGAAAACCTCGAAAACAAAGACGCAAAAAATTTCATTGGTCCTCACCGCGAATTTCATTAGACGGTCCATTATTTTCCGCGTTTCGGAATTGGCAACGATCCGATCGAACGTCTCGTTTTATTTTTATCTCTCCCGTGTGCAGTCTGCCATTTCACAAATCGAGCTTTACTTCATTCGAAAAGAAAAAGCTATCGGTACTCGGCGATTGGTTGTACGCAACGCCAGACCTTAACGAACGATTACAGTTTTCGTTTAAAATACGATCTTATCGATTTGCGAAAACCAGATGTCTAGGGTAACACAGCCGAGGGCCCGAGCAGCGGACACGATCGTTTACGAGAAAAATGAGAAGCCGTGAAACGGGTGCGACGCATAGGAAACTGCACCGGGTGTGTACACTTTGTACCCAGCGAGCGAGAGTGCAGATATCGAAGCACTGCACGTCCCGATTCTCGAAGCGTCCTTGAAATTCCAAATTCGTTCACCGTGAACTCTCGTCGCGCGACCATTATCTTTATACGATCTATGCAACGCGTAGCTATCGCCGAATCAACGTTGAAAAGCAACGCGATAAATTCGTAGCAAACCGGCCTGATTTGTCTAAAGTACGCGCTTTATTTTTGGAATGTTTCTTAACCCTTCTTCGATTGAAAAATTCTAATATTCGTTCAACGAGTAACGGATAAAGGGTTATTTAAACGACGTAATTAACAAAGGGTTGTTTTTTTAATTCGACTCGGTTCGGTAACGGAGAATGGGGAAACAGCGATTACGTTGCAACGCAACGTTCCGTCGCAATCCTCCCAGTGTCACGAACGAGGATTCGTTCAACCTACGGGGTCGAGTCAGAAGAAACTTGCATAAAAAGTGAAGGTGACCGTCGGTGATTCATAGGGGCTGATGCCCTCGTTGTCTGGCATTCGGTTTATAGAGGACGCTGGTGGGGACAGGGGCGGAGGGTCCTTGCGAGCGAGTCGACCGAGCGGCTCTCGCTCCATTCTTTGTTTTTCGACAACAAAAAGATTCGCTTTATCGCGCTTCTCGCAATCTTATCGGAATGAAAATTTCTCGTTCGATTAAAATTGAAAATTCATCCGAACAAAGTTGTCGACGTGTTGCGAACAAAAGAGAGAAGAAATGTTTTCTATCGAGAAAACTCAGCGATAAAAGTACGTTTAATTCCATCGATAAGACCGAACGACGGATACAATTTCTACAGAGTAATAATAAAGAAACGAAAAAAAGGAACGAGTATAAACGGTTCTCACCTGGCAGAACGAGACAATGCCAAGGTAAATGCAAACGCAGAAGCAAACGAAGCGTTTGGCGTCGCTGCACGACGCAATCTAATCACGCGTACGGCAAACGCTTCATGACTCCGGGCTGAAAGATTCTGACGCGACAGTGCACCTAGCCGTCGGAGTAGAGATTGTCCACGAGTGGGGAGAAGGCCGAAGAGGAGGAGGAGAAGAAGGAAGGGGAGAAAGAGAAGTAGGAGGGGGAGAGGGGGAGGAGGAGGCGGAGGAGGAGAAGGAGGAGGAAGAGTAAAAGGAAAAGAAGGGGAATGCTAGGGTCGGCACTCTGACGCAGAACGAGCTGGCACCGAGATGGTGGGGAGAACACATAAACCGAGTATAAACCAGGCATAAACTTCCCCCGGCGGGTGGACCTGTTCCCCCCTCCCGAAAAATCCTCCTCACTACCACGGCCGAAGCGCACGCCACACGCATTCCCATACACAGGACACACGCGTGCCGCGTCAGCCTTCTCGGTTCTCGCATCAAACTCGAAGCCAGACGACATTGGGGCCAAGACGGCAGTCGCGAGTCACGCGCAGCGTGCAGTCAGTTTGCAGAGTGACACCGTAGCGAGCGGACGTGTGCGTTTCTCTACGCGAAACTCGTTCTATCCAATTGTACGATCAGACAACGATCATACAGACCGTACACCCAGCTCTCCGTCACCTGCTCGCCACCAGAGTTCAAGTTCATCGGTCTCCGGAAGGAAGACCGCGTTCGGGTGGTTTCGCGAATTTTATTCGTAATCGTAATACGTACACAGTGCTCTGTTCGTTTCTTCGTGTGACTTTTATTTCTTTCACGGCGGATCCGTACTCGGAAACCGGATAGGTGTTCCGATTGTTACTTTGGCAGTTTGACTTGTTTTTTTTTTTTTGTACTGCCTCTTTTGGTGCGACGTACATATACCTCCGTTGGTGAAATCTCACTGGATTTACCCGTCGAAGAGGGAGAGCGGTTACGATCGCGTCACGCGATAATACGAGCGTTATTATGACGGTGACTCTCGTTACGTTGGTTCGACGAACGGGATACTTTGCGCTCAGCCAGTGAACTGCTTGCGTGTCACGCGGAAAACTGTATTCGACCGCCTGCTTTCGAGCGATTCAAGACGAGCCAAAGTGGATCGCTGTTCCGTTGTTCGACGCTGCTCGACTGAATCTTTCAAAATTGGTGAGTAACAACGTCGATGGATAGATACCTAACGAATCAACGGACTACTCTCCGCGGTGAAATCGAGAACTGAAATCGTAAAATGAATCGCGATCGAATCGTTGTTTCGCCATAGCGGAAAGGAACGTTCGTCGCGATTACGAGCCGACCTTGTAATCATTTGTAGAACGGACCGTTATCTGCTGGCAACTTGTCACGCGCCAGGACTTTGAACTAAAAACTCGTTGTTGGCGTTGCTCGAAAATGACTAAAGCGGAGCGTGCTCCAGTTGTGTTTCCCGTTTCAAGGAACACTTTTCGAAGCGACTCTAACACGGATTCGTCGTTCGAACCAGTTCGACGGTTTTTTACTTTATCCTCGAAACTGATCCGATCGCGAATGATTTCGTTTACCGCGTCCGATTCCTGAAACGACCCTGAAGTCAGTCGACGGATTCCGACCTCGAAGAAACTGTTTGAATGACATCATCGTCGATTCGCGGGGCCATCCATTGTTTTCGTTCCGATCGATGTCGCCTCGTAAACGTTTTATCGCGTTATCGATAAGTCTGAATCACAGGGATTCGCATTGCCGATCGATTGTGGCAAAAATCTTTGAGAAATTTTAATACATCGACGAAAAGAGTCCCGCGAACGTGCTTCTCGTCTCGATAAACAACGCTAGAACAACGAGCGTCAGCGAACGAAGCGAGAAAAGGCTACGCTTACGAAAGTCTCGTGCAACGCGTGAGCAACGCGGCAACCGATTGCGTCATTTCTGACGAAGCGATGAGGACTCCGATCCTTATCTCCGCTGCACAGGGAGTATAACGGACGGTGTGTCATTTCTCGAATACATTACACAAAACCGTTCAAAAATATGGAAGGAACGCAGCATTTCGAGCTTCTCAAAAGTAATCAAAGTCAACATTTGTTTCTTCTTAATTTATTACATGGTTTACGATCGAACTACTTCCAATTCGTGTGAATAAATCAAGTATAAGTATCTCTAATCTAACCGACGATCGAAAACCGACAGACGACAACAATTCGAGTTACTTACTATTGTTGGAATCTCCACGTGGATCGCGTCGCATCAAAAAAGATGCGATCGTTCGCGATCATTGCTTGAAACGGGTACTCCGCCCCCTCTTTGCCCGACCATCCCCACCTATCTGTCATATTTTGTACTGCGTGTATCCCCCTCCTCCATCGATTCCATTCTTCTCCCACTGCCGTCACCGTCACCGTCCATCGTCATCGTCATCGTCATCGTAATCGTCATCGTTACCGTCATAGCTACCACCATCTCTCTATCGTTGGCAAAGTGGACCACGGCCTAATTTGCAAAACTCTCACCCTCGTCGTAGAGTAGAGCGTCTATGCGTACACTCTAAAAATGTTGTCATTGGCGCGGAGCAAATTACACGAAAGCTTAAAATCGCAATGATATGAAAGAGAACAATCGAACGCGAGCTTGGTCAGCTATCAGGATGGGGTAACGTGTCGTGAGAGTGTTGAAGTCGTTCACCGATCGCAGCGTGATCGGACTGCGGCGGTTTATCAATCATATTAGGAAATATCAGGCTCCGTTGTTCGCGGTGACCTTTTCGCGTTTCTATTATGCAACGAAGGTGAACGGTCTAGCGTAAGACGGCGTGCACGTGTAGGAGTCACGTGGCGGGGAGAACAGCTAGAACAGGAGGCGCTAGCTCGCTCTAGCGAATTGCGCGAGAGCATTTTTATGCTGTGTTATGCACCGACGGTTGCATCACGTGCCGCATTATTTCTTAAGCCTGTCTCCCTGTGTTGTTTATCAGTTGAAACGCCCACTCCGCAGCCCTCCTATCTACTCCCCTGTCCCCCCCCCCCTCCCGTGCTTTCTCTCTTTCGATTCGGCGAACGAATTTTTATTTCGATCCAAAAATGCTCAAAGAGCTCGTCGAGCACGTGTCCTCGATGCTCGATACTCTCGTGGTCGGAGATGGTGCTCTTCAACGCGGCCGTCTTCCACGTGTTCGCGTTACATAACTCGCGTCCGAGACGAGACGAGACGTATTCGCGCGCGAGCCTCGACACGTTACCTCAGGTCACGTGTCGGCGTACGTCGAACGCGACCGACCGACACGCCGAGCTCACGTGGAATGCGTAAAAATTCAGATAAGCGATAATTGCGCGGATGACGCGCTCGCGAATACATACCCTTTGCACCTTTCCATAATCTGCCAGCATTTTTACCAATAAGCTTTCCCGATCGGTGAAAATTATCTCGACATGCGTTCACGGAAGCTGGCCACGAATTATCATTCAGTGGCTCGTGACTCGACATAATACCGAGAAATAGTTCACGGTCATCGCAGCAAGTATACCTGAAAATATAAACCGTACAAGTTTTAAGATCGAACAGAGGCGACTTGAAAGTTGTACGTAAAGTAACCGGAGAATTTGAAGAGATTACAAGGTCGTCGAGGGTTTTCCAAACGGGACTACACGGTTATTCTCTAGACAAGTTTTTCAGTTATACGAGTGTCTTTGTTTAAACTACATCCTGTTTAACCCATGCTAACTTTTCGAAAAGGGTAAGCGGTAAATAGCAGTAGCAACGGTCTAGGGCACGTCCGAACAATGCGTGATGCGAGGCGAGGCGAGGCGCGTGGGTGCGTCGCGTTCTCCCGATTTGTTTTTCGGTTGGCGGTCGCGTTATCGCGGAGCCAATTGCATAACGAGCGGGAAACGAAATCGGAGACCGGTTCGAAATGCTTGTGCCGGTCCGATAACGGTATCAGCGCTTGGTTGTTACGCGAGCGCCGACCGCAATCGTAACACGCACAGCCGAGCGGTATCGAGTGGCTGACATTGTGCACGTGCCTTTATATACTGTACTTAAAGTTCGACGTACTCTCGAGAACTATTTCAGGCCCGCGCGTTCTGTCCCCGCATTTTTGGAACGCTCGCCTCCGACGTGTTCCCTCTTGTCGTTTGTTGTTCGAACGCAACTCTTGGTACTCAACTTCTTGTTATCGCCTATCGGAAGAGTTTCGCGAAAGATGAGCGCTACCGTTACGTAATAACACGCGACAGAGCGCGAAACTTCTTCGAACGTAAAACCGTATACGATACGTCCAAGACGATTATTCAGAGCCGAAAGCTGATAGCTACGTTCGACGAGCGATTCGGTATCCCAGGTTTAGGGTAAAAGCAACCATATCGGATAAGACAAAGAGGAATGGCACAGCTTACACCACTCGGAACACGCACGGATACGTGTTCTTGTTACGACGGAGAGCCATGCTTTCGGGGTTACATAATCGTGCGTCACGCGGTCGAGTTGATACAATTTGGAGCGACTAGAAAAAAGAGGCGCGCTCGCGCAAGAGTCGCTAGATAACGCGCTTAAAGAGACAGTATGATTATTTCACGCGAAAGAACCGATTTATTTTTACATTTTTGTTTAAAGATTCATTCGTAAGACAACGTTGCGGTTCTCGGAACCTATCGTTCGATAAAGAGATCGTGTCGTCGGATTAATGTCGAATGCAATGATGATTTGCGATTTCTCGCTAGACATACATGCAACGCCTTCGAAGAAATGTAATCCGGTAGGCGAGACGTTAAAATATCGCGCGAATAAATTTCTACGAAACCGCGTTAGCGTTGCATTTGCGCGGCGCGTGTTCTCCGAAAATTTCGCGTCGTTGGAAAAGCAAGCGTGCATCGTAAACGTCTATAATCGAGTAAGCACGATTGCTCAATGTTTAACTTCCTCTCCCAGAGAAAACTCTTCACGCGATAAAAAAAACAATCGAATCGAGTAAAAATTTTACGTAAAGATTCGCGTCTTTTGTTGCTTCTACAAGATACTTGTCGAATTACTCTCTTCATATATTATACTTGACCCATGACAAACCGACGAATCTTCAGAAAATAACTCCCGGGAAAATACAACGAATTCAAACAGGAAACGTGAATAATTGGGAAAAACATGACTGTACGTTTCTATTTATAACCGTTGAACGGAATAAGCGTGTGGCGACTATTCTGAGATTCTCGATCATACCGCGACTAATATATACGAGCTTAATTTCATTCTCCCGAAAACCTACCACGGCATTTTTAACGTTGGTGAAATCTCGTAACGTTGCTCGCGATTCGAACTTGTCTCAATTCTCTGAAAACAAGTAAAACTAATATATTTTGTCGACGCAATTCCCGAACGATGAATAGCAACGATGCAGCACGTGGCACGTTCCGTAGAAACACACGTGCTTCGTTATGTAACTACACCTCGCACTCGAGCTAACGTTCTCACGTTCAGTCCTAACGAACAAATATAAGAACGAGTTGTTATCGCGTGGACATACGTAGCAGCTCGATTATCGGTGTAAAGTATCGCGGATGATCATTATAATTTGTCGATTTTTTCTTCCTTTACAATGCATCGAAACAAAGATGCTAAAGCGAGCGTTATCGTTCTCAACGTTTTTAACGCTATCGATTAACGCGTAACACGTATCACGACAACTCGTGACAACTCTCGTCGACTATCCACGTTTCACGCATTACCGCAAGGATTTCGAAGGATTCGTAAAACGGTTGGTTAACCAAAACGTCGAACGACAATTGTGCAAAAGGGATAACGACTGGAAAGTGGTAACGTTCGTCCTCGAGTTCGCTGACACTTTCGACCTTGACGAGCGTGACCTTACCCAAGGCTATTTTGCGAGTTCTCTTTCCGTTGCTCGAGCCGGTATTGTTGGCAGTACGAGCACGTCTTTCGATCTCTCGGAATTCTTCACCTTTGGCCGCCCGCGCCGTGCCGGTGCTACTCTCGCATATAACGGTTACGAAAATTTACGAGACTCTCTCTGTTGAACATGATCTCCTGTCGTCGCGTTCGCGCACACGACAATGGCGAAAATGATCGTTAACGCACTCGAAAAATTCTAGTGAACTCGCGATATGTACAACAAACGAACAATTACTCTTGGAATGTTCGATTGCTATCGAAGCGTTGTTTGACGTCGTAGCAGGTATGACGCACAGTTTTTCTAAGTATGCGTCATCGAATTCTCTACGATAGTTTGATTGCAGTTCACTAATGGGGGTATAGTATAATTGTTAGGTGTTGCGTCACGGGAAAGAAACGATTACACTGACTCACGCGCAGAGTCGTAGTCGTGACTGCGAACGAAATCGATTCTCTAATTTAGATTCGAGAAGCCACGTCAGGCGATCGATGTAGATCGTAATTCGAAGCACTGGCGCTTCCAAGTCATACGCAATAGTTATTACACCAAAAGTTTTTCTTAAATCATATTTTCATTCTTCTTTACATTACTTCGTCTTACATGACTCCTGCATTGTTTTAATACTCTTTGCAGTATCTTTTAACTTTCATATATGTGGAGACCTGCTAGTCCCCCCTATAGCTCGGATACCTCGAGATCGTTAAACCCGTACCGTAGTTGCGTACACGCATGCTACAGCTCCAGAGGGTTGGCACTGTGTACTTTACGACACGATAAAGAATAGAATAGAATAAAATAATCGAGGTGGTCGGCTACCGTAAAAGTCTCCTGCCTTCTTCCTGATTCCGTATCGCGCGACCTTCTTTTCTAATGGTTCGTCACTCGTCGCTTGCCCGTCGACATCGCGTCACACCGTTGTAGCTCTAAGAAACATATGTACAAGGACCACGTTTCGTTCGTGACCGGTATCACAAATGAGTTGTCCGGAACATAGTAGCAAAAGTTTTACCGCGTTCCTTTCCTAATCACTGGTTTCGTTTGCTTGCAGATGTACTAAGAAGACAAATTATGGTGGCAGAATTTGTCGCCCGTCAGAGTGGATCACCCATCAATGGTGAGACCGCGTGTCTGAACAGCAACATGCCAGCCAGCCATAGTATGGCGCACGCAGGTCATGGTGGCCACGGTGCACACGATGCCCATGGACCGTTGCCTCCGCTAACGCACCCGGCTCATCACGCTGGTCCTCCATCCATGCAACAACAGCAGCATCAGCATCAGCCGCAGCAACCGCCGCCGCCGCCGCAGCAGCAGCAGCAGCAGCAGCAGCAACAGCCACCGCAGCACCACCATCATCATCATCAGCAACAGCAGCAACAGCAGCAGCAGGCTCAGCAGCAGCAGCAGCAGCAACATCACCTCCACGATGCCCAACAGGTGACACATCCTGAAAATTTCCCCCCGAACTTCGACATCAGAAAAGAGCTATTTTCTCAGCGCAAGCAACGAGAGTTCATCCCGGACAACAAGAAGGATGACAGCTACTGGGACCGCAGGAGACGCAACAACGAGGCTGCCAAGCGGTCTCGCGAGAAGAGGCGCTTCAACGACATGGTGCTCGAGCAGCGTGTCATGGAGCTCAGCAAGGAGAACCACATCTTGAAGGCGCAACTCGAGGCGATAAGAGACAAATTTGGTATATGCGGCGAGTCCGTGATTAGTACGGAACACGTAATCGCGACTCTTCCAACCGAACCTCCCATCACCGTCAAAAGGGCGAAACTTCCGGCCTCGGCGGCCCTCCTTTACGCCAGGACACCCAGTCCAGTGCACACGTCGGTGATTCATCAGCCGGTGAGCGGAGCTCGATCGCCCAGATCACCGGCTCAGTTGTACGTGCCCGAAACGACGGCATACCCCGAGACGGAAAGTTTCCAGTATCCTTATCCTCATCCAGCGATGCACCTAGATACGACAAGCGCGTTGAATCTGTCCCGTGGACGACGCGCTCAATCGCCGTTCGAGTTGTCATCCGGAAGCGGTGACGAAGGTCCGCAGTTGGTGGTCAACTCCCAAAATCCGGCAGCTAACAATAGTTTGCCTCACAAGCTGAGGCACAAGTCGCGCATCGGCGACAAAGATGCGGCCAGCGCGCTATTGGCGCTTCAAGGTATCAAGCAGGAACCTGGTCCAAGGGCATCGCCTCCGTGGGACAACGAAGGGTCCAGCGACGAACGCGATTCCGGGATTTCGTTGGGTGCCGAATGGACTGGCCCCACCGTGTCCGCCGTTCCTGAAAGCGAGAGGGAGGTGAAATCGAGGCTGGATCGTCTTGCTTCCGAAGTCGCTTCTCTTCAGTCGATATTTCGCCTTGGGAAGTCGGCGGACAGTTTGGTTACTGGACATCCGCTACCCGCAAACGCTACCATCAATGGCCCGTGAGAGGACGACCAACGGTGATGCTCCTTTCTTCGTGGTTTTCCAGCGAAATCGGCCAACGACTCTTTCCCTTTTCGTCCCGTGCGCCGCTTTCTTTGCGATCCGCGAACAGATCCAAAGATCCTTCGGCTACGTTCCAAGCGAACCTTCCAAGTGTGATGGTAGTTGGTAGTTGGTAGTAGGAAGCGAAGTGCGTTGGTAGTAGTCTCGTGATTTCTTGCATAATTTCGTCTTTCACGTAAATCCTCGAATCGGAGGAACCGGATATACATACATATATAGATACGTACATACGATATGTACAGTTTCTAAATAAACTACTACCGACGTTGCAGTATTGGATCCGCATGCGCTTTGGTATCGGCCAATGTCGTCGCGTCTCACGAATCGTCTATGCGATTCATTATCGCCCGGATAAGTTAGATCAGTCAGATAAGTTAGGATAGGTATTAGCTACCTATACGTTGGTAAGGTGTCTACTAGACTTATGTTCGATCGGGTAACTCGAACCCACGATGACCACCACCGCGAAACCGAAGCCACTCTCTCCGACGGAACTGTCGAAAGCCGAGATTACGTCCAATCGTCATCGGCCTGGCGTTCCACGTCTTTCTTTGCACAGTAGACGCGCTTACATATAAAAATATAAAAAATACCTTTGATCAAATTTTAAGCCAGTTCTCGTATTTTACACATCCATCGACTCAACGGTAATCTATGCACGCCGTCTTTGAATTTCAGAAAAATTCTCTCGTTCGATCGATTCGAATTAACTTATCGATCAGCATTTCGCGTAACATATTACGTTCGCTATTATAGATTCAGAATATTGACGTAAACGGCTAAAGACACATTCGTCGAAGAGTAAAAAAGTTAGTTACTCGATTCGATCGGTCGAATCGACCAACGATTACGTGCTTGGATGCCTTACGCCAAAATATGGGTTTACCCTACACTGTCCAAGCTGTCGTAATGATGATTTAGATGATAAGATGCGAAATCTAGGGTATAACTAACTTAACGATGTAAGACTTTTTTTAGGGTACTCGGTTGACATTGTCACCGTTATCCTCACTAGCGAGTTCGTTTGTTGATTCGGGCAGCCGTGTAGCAACGTCGACTAATCGAATAATCGAGCTTTATTTGGTAAATCGTACACTGGACCCGGACAACGGTAATTCAAATTAATTTTCGACTCGATGCATTCGATTCGTATTATTCGGAACGCGGCGAGGACGTTAATCCGAAGATCTTTGGACGATTTATCGCTATTTATTCTCCGTCGAAATTTAACAAAAGAATAAAAGACTTGGAACATCTTCGGATTCGCGGACCTCCAACTTTCCCCCGGTACACGAATCTACTTCCCGGTTGACAACTTATCGCGCAACCGGCTAATTTTCACTACCGTCGATTCATTCTTAACGATTTAATCTCCACATCGCGTGCGCGAATCTTTATCGAGCAAAGCAATAACTTGTTAACTTGTTTTTATCGTACGAATCTTTTCTCTTTCTCTCTCCTGATTGCTCTTTCAAGAACATCGATGGGCTATCCCCACCGTTCTATCTTTCGTCTCGAGAACGGCCCGGCCAATCGTCTTCGATTCGACTATAGTATTCGCACGTGTGACATCAATTTCGATTTATCTACGAGTCTAATCGTCCAAGTCTTGCTAGAACGTTTCTCGGTGTCGTTCTCTCGATACCGAACACGCGCGGCGATCTGTAAATAACGTACCCCTACCATCGAATCGAACTTGGTCTCTCCCAATCGTTATCTCGTTTCATCTTTCGTTTCTTTTTCTACTTTTATTGTTAGCGATCGATACGAACGCATCTGTACATATGTATGTATAAACGAGAGAATACCGTGTACAATTCGTGTTTATGCTTACCGGTGCTTCGTGATATTTGGCACTCGGAGCCGCGAAGGATCATCGACGCGTGTCGACATCCCTTTCTTTCTTCGCGGATATGACAAAAGTGGACAAAGCGAGATTTGTCGGATATCAGAATCTATGCGTAATATTCGAGCGATTATCGAGCGAGCCTATAAGTGTATGTAATTATATACATAGTGCACATATACAAGAATTATACATACATATATGTATATATATTTTTTCAAATTGATGTATTTTTCGATATTGTGCGAGAGAGTAAGACGAGAACGGTCTCCGCGTGATGTAATGCTTTTGTGTCATACGTCATACGTAGGAGGAAGGACGTGCGTGCGTCGCATGAAAGAACGAATTCTTTTTAAATGGAAAAAGTGAACCGATTATCACGACAATCGAAGCAAGTTCGTATCGAAATTTTCCCAACATCTCTGAGCAAATCCGATCGATAGATCTACGGCGTTGAAACAACAGCGTTTGTTACAATTGTTCTGAAAAACACATCGCAAGACTGTTTTATCGTAATCGACGTTCATTCGCGGAAGGATCTCGTTTCTTTTTATCGTCCCCTCCTCCACTCATTCGTACTTTTTACGTTATTTTCATTGCGTGAATTTTTTTATATTTTATACGGCATGTTTATACCTATTATTAATATTATTCGTAAAGAACGTTTTATCCGTTGGCGAACGTCAGCCAACGGCAACACTCGACGAACGCTTATCGTCGCCGCTCAAACATTTCACAGTTTGCTCAGAATGAACGAAAACCATTAGGAAAAGTCACGCAACGAGTAGCAACGACGAAGACGCATACCATTGAAAATTGAATCGTACTCGATTCTTTATCGAAAACCATCAATTGTCGGACAAACGTGCCCGTTAAGTAATACCTCGATTCCAACATATTCTGCCTTCTCTTGTACGATTGCGTCACGCGGCGATAAATTTGATGAAAAATGGAACCTTTCGAAAAATCGAACGATTTATTTAGCATCGTTCCGTAGTTGATTTACCGTAACATACCACGAGTGCCTATAATAACGAAACTGAACGCGTATCCTGCAACAAAGCTACAGTTTCACGAGCAGCCCGATATTCGAAGCACGTTTCATCGCGAGAGGACGGTTTCGAAGGAACGGAGCTATGTTATTTGTAAATAGAAATTCGTTCGTGATCGCAGAGCGGCAATCGTCGCAGGTTTCACTCGTAAAAGATTCCAAATGTCCAACTCCATTTTGCCTTCGAATCAGCTTAACCATGAGAAACCGTTAGCCTCGACCACGGCGACCATGAATTTGTACATAACTATTGCACTTTTGCCAAAAAGCACGCTATTCGTGCCGATGAACGTGGCCAAGATGTCGAAGGCGTGTGTGAGCATCGGCCGGAGAAGGAACTTTTAATTCTCTTCGTTTAACCATTCTCGTGTCTTCTCTCTTTCCGTACCCTGAAATAGCTTCTTCGAGGACATTTCGCATACAGTTCCTAATACAGTTATAATGGTACAGCGACTTAGACGGTCGTCCGTTGTCCACGATAAACATGATTCCAATACGAGTTTCTCACCCTCCTCTCTCCGGCTGTACGGAGATATAAGTATTTAAATCTAAGGGACATATCCACAGCGTGTAGTGTACTTGTATATGAATACCGAAATAAATATTTTCAATGTTTTTGACAATACTCGATACCGTTCTGTCGTACTTTTCTTCTCTAGCTTCTCCTTTCTTCTTCTTTTTTTTTTTGTTCCTGGCGAAACTACTATCACAATGCTAAGACACGTGCATAGATACTTACACATGTTTACCCCGCCTGTGCAACACCAAGAAAACTGTTAACATTCAACGTGGAGAATAACATACGAACCATTCGTATCTAAAATCATATATTTCATACGAAACATAATTAAATGTAAAGATAAAAGTTAATGAAAACATTCTTAAAAAGGTACACGCACGATTCGCAATGTCTATAAATATAGCGACGATAAATAGACATCACGCATATTAATATGACAAAAGATATAAAAAATATACATTATCGTAAAGTTAATTTGTACAATGTTAAAATATAATCGTCGATCATGCCTGAAATTCGAAATAAATTATTGAACCGAAGAGCGTAGCCAACATAGCCGACGAATTTTTACGATTGTCGATTAAATATTTCTCTCTGCACTGGAAAATAAAGCAAACGCCGTTTCGCTTTAACAATCGTATGACCTTTTTACATTGTTATTCCTCATTCCTCATTTTTGCAAAACCATGCGCTGTTTGCAGTGACTCGGACGTTTCACTACCGATCGTTCCTTAGGTGGGATGGCACCTCCAGCAATTTGTTGATTTAATATAAATACAAAGATTATTTTCTTTTCTTGCATTTGGTTCTGCCTCGACGTCTACGCGATGAATTTTGACGAGTGTCTGTCTTTTTCGAAGACCTGCGTTGAATGTTTCTGGCGTTGGTCAACGAGCAACGTTTATATTTGTTTAAAACTATCGTTAAATCACTTACCTATGAACCCTGTTTACCGACACAGAAGTATGTTTTTTCAAGGTCAAATGCTGTTGAACTAATTCCGCTAGCTTACCTTGTTGAGCGAGCATCGAAAGAAAAGTGCAAATAAACTCATCGTAATTGTGTGTTCTACGACAGTCATCGATCTGAAATAACGTCATATTATACTCGTCTCTCTTTTTAATTCTAATACAAATGTACAGACATTTTAAGCGTACTCGCCTTATATTTATTCCTCTTATCATTTTCATCTTTCAAACTGGTTTCGCACATACTTATTTCGTGCTCTAAATTCTTCAATAACGCTAAAAGATCTTTGGGTGCAAATGTGTGCGGTTCAAATAATTCTGGGTATTTCGAGCACAATTTAGGATCAATTTTTTCTACCTTTTTCTCTTCGATAACAGTATCTCCGTTACTAGTTTTTACTCTGGCATGAGGCATTCTAACTTCTCCCGACAAGCAAACCTTTTTGTGCAAATGACCGCTATCTGAGACTAATCTCTTTCCATTTATATTGATATTTCCAAGCGAACGACCTATTTATGCGTACATGACTTATGTATCTTGTGCCTAATTTCATCTTATAATGCATTGCAACTTGCAACAAGAAAAAAGGTATACATGTAACAGAACAACACACTTGTATATACTTACTCAAACCTGCCTCATTCTTTTCATCCCCAGCAACTCTAATCACAACGAATTTTTTAAAATCTTTCGTTGATGTCGGACTACTCTGACCAGAGTTCCATCCCCATGCTGTAAATAAACAAACTCGTCTAATATACTGCACAAGTTCTTCTTTATGTCTAAATTTCTTTGAATTTTTATCACGCAGAGAACGAGAAATGTTCTCACTGAAGATGATCGTAGGGGATAGGTCGAGTAACTGTATCCGAGAGGTGTCAAAGGAAACGACGAAATGTGGGGGAATGTGTGAAAAGCGAATAGTGCCATCGAGTAAGGCATTTGAATTTCAGTCCGCTGTAGAATTTGCTCCACTGCACGTAACAGTAAAACAAGATGAGACTGACACGTTTGATATTTTTTTCCATTCTGATAACAATAAATTCTTCGAAATGTCCAGAATCAAGAAAACCACATTCAACCAGTTGCATCATATTTTATAAGTGCATAAATTTACCTGACGGTGGTTATGTTTGGGTACCCAGCAAATGTACAAATGGCTTGGTAAGATAATTTACTATCGCATTAATAGTGTTTGCCAAGTTTAGTCAATTCTTACAATGTTCTCATTCTCAGATATTTCAACCATATTTACAAATATGTGTTCTACCTGGTGATTCTTGGACATGTGACATATTATCGACAGAATCATCTATTATAACGGATAGATACGATCAACCAGAATTGATAAACCCAAATGAAACTAGTTACATGGGATTAACAGAAGATCCTTCAAATTTTTCAGAACTTATCGATTCGTCGTATACCACCGATAGTATTCCAGGTAATCAAGAAATGATAACGCCGTATCCTTTAATCGAATTTGATGAAAAAATGGAGAATAGGCACGAACAAAACGTGGATAACATTCTTCAAACTAACAATGTACAATATGATTATTCGCAAAGAAAAAATTATACCGGAAAGGAATATTCAATGTTAAGCCGATTAATACGTCATTTATTACTTTATAGAGAAATCACTATTCCTTTAGAAATTCTAGCATCAATGTCGCTACCTACTCTTTCAAGAACTAATACAAGTACAAGTACAAGCGATATTTTGTCCAAAGAACCAGAATTTTCGAAAACTAGTCAACCCAGTGTATTAATGAATTATCTCATACAGAATTACGTTCAACAGAACAACTTGCAAACTGTTACCGCAACTGTTACAAAATTACAAACCGCAACCGAAGCTGGTAAAATTTTAAACGAAGACAATACAAATGAATCGATGTCAAATGTGGAAGCAGCACCGAATGATACATTACAGACATTAGTCGATGATTCGGAAACCGAAAATAGTATAATTTTAATTACCGATAATGCGGGAAATAAGCAATATTTAACTACTGAAAAATATAAATCGTTAGGGTACAATATAAATTCACAATTCATCCGTATAATTCCATGTGTAAAAAATGTTCGTATGCCGAATGCAACTAACTGTGTCAAGTACTATGTATGCGAACCGGAAATGCTTTCCGTAATAGAGTATTCGTGTCCGTCTTATACAGCATTTAATAAATATACCAGAGTATGCGATAGAGAAAGCTACAATAAATGTTTGGAAATGAACCGTCAAAATGTCAAGCTTTTAGAAGTTGCCGCCAACTCTTCTCAAATAAATATGCTGGAAAACAATATATGTACCGAACACGGAAAAACAAGGGATGTTGTATCCGAATCACATTATTACATTTGTTATTCTTCTTCGGATAACTTGCAAAATTTCAAATCGATACGAATGATGTGTCCAAACGGTTTGATATTTTGTCAAAGCAAGAAAGTCTGTACAACTAAACGTCTCTGTAAGGCAAACTAGTACAAGTGCATATCTTTTTATATACCTTGGGTGGGAGAATTAAATGCTGATCCAATCTCGGATGAAGTATCGGTACTAGACGAACTATGCGCAGGTGAAGTTTGAATTCGAAGAGGAGTAGCATAATCCAATGCACACATAACAACCTTTTCCATACCACTGTAACATACAAAAGATTTCTATCCAGCTAAAGTTAAAGAATACATAGCACGGTTGATGAATAAAATATTTGATAAACATGAACTCTACTTTATTCAAATTATTGTTCACCTACTTTGATTCAGTCTTTCCAGAAGTTATGCTCGAAGCTGTTTCCTCTGTATCAGTTGCATTATCGCTACTTCTTTCCACAATGATACCTGGTACTGTAGAAGATTCGTTAATCTCGGATTTATTAGGTAGAATATTTTCATCTTCAAGTTTGCTCTTTTTCTCGTATTGTTTATCCGATTTTTCAGAATCGTTTAGATTCTTTTCAGATCCATCTTGGTGGCTCAGCTTAACGAGCTGTTGTAATGCTTCCAACACTATCTGCCTATTCGTTTTCAACATAGTTAATTTATGTGAGATAGCGAGTCGTCGGTCGGGAACAACAGCCATTAGATTAAACCTTATATCTTGCAATTGCTCTCCCGTTGCCATTCCTAAACGATCCGTAATTACACGTCTAAATTGTTCTGTCCACTCTTCGTGTTCTTTCCATGGACCATGATCCATGGGATATGGTTTCAAGCCATCCAGTTCGAATAGTCTACCATTAATCGGTACATAACTAACAAAATGAAAAGCTTCACCAGTAAATCTACCAGTTGAAACACCGGTATTTTTGTCCTGACGTCTTTTGGCTTGAGGCATTGCATGCGAATTATGCGCGCACGCTAATTCGGGTGTATTACCGATTGCCCATCCCTTATTTTCTGGACACATACCAGATGTGTGCATTTTCAATCGGGATAACGTTGTACCCAAATGGATATTTGGGCAATTAAGCAACACCGAAAGTAGCGCATGGGTTGCACAACTGTTGGGCACAACCTAAACAATGAGAACTAATTAAAACTAAATACTAATCGATAATAATTACATACACAAGTAGAAACTATAACGTACCTGTTGCGCAAAAAATATGTTGTTGACAATTTCTTCATCTTTTACGAAGCTCTCATCTTGCTCTACAACTTTGCGTCTAGATCTTCTTTCTTCTATCCAACGAAATAGAAATATAAAGCCGTACACTGGACCTTCTAAAGATTTTTGTAAATCATATATTTCTTCTACTTGCACACCTTTCACTCCGAAATCTTCCAATAAGAGAGTAAATAAACCTAACAATCGAACGAATGTAAAATGTTCTACATTATAAAACGAAATTATTTTTGATACATTAACTTAAACTACTGTATTCTCGTAACACATTTAGTTTACTTAAATATTAATCGTCGTTAAAGTAACGCATTTCCATGATCATTATTTATACCTGGATCGCTTTCTAATTCTAGCCAACCTTCTGTTAATCGATTTATATCAACTGGCATTCTGTGTTGAGTTTCAAGTTCAATATTTTCAAAGTGGATTTCACATTCTTTTACAGGTTTTATTACCATTTATTACACTATGACAATTAAAGGCGCCATATTACATCAAAACACATATCATGTGACCCAATCACGTGGTGAAAGAACCAGGGTCACACTCGTACTCGTAACTCGTGCATACCTGGCGACACTTTTATTAATCAAATTATATTTTTCTTCGTAAAAAAATTTATGAAAATACGACCGATAAAAAACTCGATCCAGAATTGATGCAGAAGTGCTAATCGAAAATGAATTTTCGACAATCGGACCTAACC